CCCCCCCCCCCCCCCCCCCTACGTTTTTAATGCTGAAAAACACTTTTACGGAATGTATTTGGCATTACCTGTGAAATCGACGACTTCAGAGCGCTTCTGCCCTCAGACGACTCGTGAACTACATAAGAAGCACCATGAAGCTGGACCGCTTGAACAACTGACTACTGATGCATTGTCACAAATTGATTACGGAAACACTAGACACTGTGAAAATTGTAAAGAGTTATGCTGGTGCCAAGAAACAACGCAAAGGACATTTTGAAAGATTTGTGTAGCGGGATGGGCATGGCTCAGTGGAAGATGAGCCTCTCGTACGTTTCAAAAAGCTCCGCTGCCTCTGGTTTCCACTAAGTGTCGTATCTATCTAATAAATCAACTCCTTGACACTAAGCCTGATAAGTCCAGTCTGGGAACACATTGATAGTATTGAAGCTTTTGTGCAATCACGCAGTCGTTACTTTATAAATTTCTATCAGATAAAGTCATCCAGTATTGATGTCCTGACCTGGTATTTTTCTTGCTCACAACTACCATTTTCTGCCACGATTAAAGACGGTTCATTTGAGCCCGTGCTATCGTCCTCTTTACAACGTGATTGTGTCTTAACAGTTGCAACAGTTTCGGGAATAACTAAACCACCAATCGAATCACTTGAGCGAGCATCTGGTAGGCTTTTTTCTGTACACGTCTCCTTAATCAGTAAATCATCGTCCACAGAGGAAGCGATATTTGTTCTGCAAACAAGAAACAAAAATGGAATCATTACGAGGAGGTATGGTCATGCGCAGTCACGTTCGATTACGTCACGTGACGTGGGACAAAGAGTCCAAGATGGTATCTGAACCCATGACCTCCCAAAAACCCGTTCAAGTCGTTCTACCGCTGAGCTGTGACTGGGTTTTTATTAACGAAATGTTCCTCAGGTTTTATTCGTAAAGATTATCGTCTACATTTCTCCCTGTAAAAAGCATTCTCTTTTTTGAGGGTTCTCCCCTACTTGTCTTCTCTCGTCTAGGGGACGAGTAGCGTAGACAACCCTGGGAACGAGGTTGCAAATGAAGGTCTTAACGGGGTCTCGCAATATTTTCATGACCAGTCAATAAAGTACATTTAAAATTAAAGCCAATAAACACCTCTTTCCCCTTCTTATCTAACATTTTGTCGAGTTCTCTTTCGATTGGTGTTTTGAGTAGCAAAATTTTAAACTTAAAATCCAGATGAGAGTGAAAACTAATAAAAGCTTTCGACCCCAACTGAAGTCTTGCTGACAGAAGTCTTGTTCAACTGAAGTCATAACAGAGGTTAAGTAACTACGACGACGACGACGACAACTTGAAAAAACAATAGGTTTAATAATCAAAACAACAGCTCTGCACATGCATCCCGCTTTTTAGCACACTTCTTGAACGTCCACTGCACGACTACGACGTGAAACCTCCTAATTGGACGTTTAATTGAGGACGCGGACATACGACGACGAATTTTCCTTCCTCTTCAGTTTTGAACTTGAATAAAATCCTTAAGAATTCAACTCCAAGAAAAGTCGCCTGGATTTGACATATTGAGCGGGTCCAAATAGACGCGATTAAGTTTGAAAGAACGCAAATTCATCTTTTTAGCGATGTTTTCATTGCCGTCGTCATCGTCGTTGCTTATGATCCCTACTGTCGAGGGACCCTGGAGCCTACCATCCCCTCCCCTCCCCCCTCCCCGGTGGTTATGCGTTCAGTTTAAGTTCATTAGTTTTCAATTTTATATGGATTTTAAGTTGAAAATTTTGCACATAATTTAAATTTACTGAATAGATTAATCTACACAAGTCTATCAACTTTACCTTGGGTTGCTTTTACTGGCATCACTACCGCAAAGAATTTTGAGAGGAATTTTCTCTTCGTTGCCATTAAAGTTTCAGTTTGAGGATTTTGAGCGACACATCGAAATAAGGACGGACCATTGGAAATAAACGGAGGTGGGGTGACAACTCCCCAAACAAAATTCCTGCAAAGGAAACTTGTCTAAAGAAAGAATCCTATGTGCTCTAGAAAAAAATTCCTGCAAACAAGCGGGCTTTTAAAAAAAATTCATGCACCAAAAATTTTTCACCCCCCTTTGGTTAATTCTAATGGTCCGTCCCTTAGGAACATAGCCTTGCTTTATAAAAATAATAAGAACAAACAGAAGAAAAGACGGCGTCTCTTTCCTTTTACCTTTCAGTGATTCCTTGAGAGTGTGGTGCTGAAAGATTGCTTAGTTTCGCACGGGACTCCCTGTCGGCTGTTGATTGTTTTCTACTGTCCTTAGCATTGAACGGCTTATTTCCATGCTGTTTATTGTAAGAGACATGGTACTGACGCCAAAAGTAAATGTTACGAAAAAAGAATAGTTAGTATTAACACAAGACCAGGCGAAACCGACATCGTGTCCCGTTCTTACCTCTTGCAGTATTTCTTCAGCAGTTTGAAGCAGCTCCTCGGGACTCAAGCAGTAAAACGTATTCTCGCTTTTTTTCGTTTTCATCCTACAATAAACGAAACTGCTGAGATCAAGGAAGGTCTGTCCTCAAGTTAGCCTTTGTAATTGGCGACATCAGTGCAGCACGATGATGATTAGGGAAGAGTGAAGAACCAATTTCCCTCCCNGAAACCGACATCGTGTCCCGTTCTTACCTCTTGCAGTATTTCTTCAGCAGTTTGAAGCAGCTCCTCGGGACTCAAGCAGTAAAACGTATTCTCGCTTTTTTTCGTTTTCATCCTACAATAAACGAAACTGCTGAGATCAAGGAAGGTCTGTCCTCAAGTTAGCCTTTGTAATTGGCGACATCAGTGCAGCACGATGATGATTAGGGAAGAGTGAAGAACCAATTTCCCTCCCCAGGCTTGACCGCAATTTTTCATCCCTGCATCCCAACAAAAAATGCTGCTACGCAGGTTACTTAAATCTGAGGTCCTGTTTCCATAAAATGCAACGCAATCTTACAACCCCGCCATCCCGGGGGCACTTTCTCAAGATAATTGAATCGTCGCTATAGACGTAGACAAAAACTGGCGGGCAAACGACGTGTTTTGGCGGTTAATGGTCTTCTACTCTCACTTACTGTCTTGGCTGCAATTTTTCAATGCTGTGGCTTTCCTTCCGTTGTCACGTTGAATGATTCAAAGCCTCCACCAAAGGCAGTTGGCGCGAACTTAGCGCAACACAAATACGACCCCGGCTAGGCGGGTTAACCCACCTAGCAACGTTTATATGACAAAATCTGACCCTGGCTAGGAGAGGTACCCGGTCGACTCGGCGGGTTACCCCACTTATCGTGTAATCGTGGTCAAATTAAAATGTGAGATTTTTATATAGTAGACAGATGGGTTACCTCACCTACCTGGGGTCCCACACCTTCATGTCCTGTTCACAGACCATCTATTTTCTCTTAAAAGTCCGTCGAGCGCGCGTCATAAAAAAAACCGCGGGGGATTTATTGATCGCCAGTGCAAGGGGGTCGCTCGCGCGCTCGCCGATGTTTCCCAGAAGAACGAAAACAAAAATAAAGCGACGTCTGTGTACAGGTTAGTCCCTGAGATAATACGATACCTTTTGTGAGACAACTTGGCATTTGAAACTTCATCTGCGGCTCGCTTTCCTTCATGGTCACTACTAGTCTAGAAAAAACGAATAATATCCGTATTTCAGTCGTAGAATAAATTACGTTACCAGAATTTTCACCGCTGCGGCTTTCGAAATTTAAGCCACTTAAAAATATTTTTCGGTTAATCAAAAGATGCAAACAGGGCGGGTAAGGCTTCGCATTCAGGGCGAGCAAGTCTGGAGACTCGTCACAAAGTAAGTACGAAAAAATACATACCTTGGTGAAAGAAGATTTCCCATTGGGAAGTGATTTATTCTTTTCGCGTCGTGTGGGTTCATCTCCTTGACTGCGTTCAGCAGACTCGTCGCACCCAGTTTTCTTGAAGGTGTAAAACGCAAAAACAAAAAAAGAAAAGGGCATTGTTACAAATGACCACGGGTACAAGTAAAACTGAAAAACATAAATAGCAATAGTTTTTTTTTTTTTGCCTTAAAGCGAGGGTAAATGAAACTGGAAAAACTCGAAATATGAGTGGGTTACTAAAACCGTGAGAACTGGAACTACCGACTTCTCAAAGGGCATTTACATTACTAAATATAGTCCTCGATTGATCACAAGCACCATGAAAGTGCTCGCTGGCAAGGGTGGAAACGAGGTTGGTTTAGCGGACGAAATATTACTTAACCTTGCTTCAATAATTTGTTTGAATAAGGCATTACACACTGATCTATTTTCAAAATGTCAGTCCTAGTGAAGCACTTTTGTGGCACACATGTTTCTCCCATGGACGTAAGAACCCCTGAGCGTAAGAATCCCTGGATTTATGAACGTCTGAACGTAAGAAACCCAGGATGTAAGGACACCTATGTGTCCCGATTAGTTTACAACTGTATCTTTTAGAAGGCAGTAACTGACAAAACGTATCCCGCATGCTCAGGGTCTTAGAAGTGCTTAAGTGCTGATTGGCGGGAGACTTTTTATCTCTCGCCGCTTCTCAACGCACCTTCGCGGTTTCGCCACTAAATTCCGTCGCCCTCAAAGAGAAAAAAACCCTCTGGCACCAAGGGTAGACAAAACGTTCAATAATTTATGATTGAAACAATTTTAAAACATTATAACATGGGACCTGCGAGATTGGCACTATCTTTACCTTTTGTTTGACCACTGATCCTGCCACGGGTTCCAGCTTGCTTGTACTAGGCAGACTACATGAACGAGGGTTGATAATTTTGTTCACCTAAGAAGAAAAGACCGTTGTGGGCTCTACCAGAACAACACCGTATTCCTTTTGTTAATAATTCATTAAGGATTAGAATAGGAGAGAACGTGAGCTTCTAGAACGTCTCGTCTTCCATGTCCGACTCTCCTGTTCTGTGGTATTTTATCTGCCTGTTTATATTGTTTCCATGAGAACCATCCGGGGTAATTTGCTCATTTGCGACTTCGAATTGAGACTAAAGTTGAGGTATTTTCTACTCGGGCTCTATCACTAGCCCAAATACCATGTAGCAGGACCAAGAGACTATAAAGGGGACAGAGAGGGCATCCCCCATATACACCCTATTCCATAGGTAATTCGTCTCGAGTTATTTTTAACACCACAGATCTCAAGGGGGATTAGACAACAGCCAATCACATAGCGCGAATGTGTTCCGCGTGGATGACCCACGCTGAGAGCCACGCGTCCTTCACGAAATGACGCAGAACAAAATGGGGGAAGACGCGGAGAGCGATTTTGCTATTCCTTTTGTCGACGAAAACGACTACAGCGAGATTTCTGCGAAAGCTGTGTCAGCGAAACCGAAATTAAAAAAGAATCGCCCTTCCTCTCTTGTATAGAGCTAACAGTAGAGCAGGGAAATCCTTAACACACTGAATATTCTCTCAGGATCATTTATAATTTACAGTTTGAAGAGAGCAATTTCTGGTTTGATGTTTATTTTTTTCAGTCTTTATAGCGATTATTCCTACCCACTTACTTTGTCAATTGTAGGCGAACCCTCCTAAAGCTGAATTTCAAGGGACCATATTCAAGCTCAGAAAGAGAAATAAAATTTCGTCGTTACTTATTTACGTCCTCCATAAAACGCGAAATTAGGCATTTTCACGTCGTAGTCGTGCAAAAACGGGAAAGAAATGAACAAAAAAGTGTGTTCCACGTGCGAAGTTGTTGCTTTGCTGATTAAACCTATTGTTTTTTTGACGTTCTAGTTGTCGTCCGCGTCGTTGGATCTGAAACTCCCTAAATTGTACAAACGACCGGTTTCAATAGACCGGCGAAATTTCTCATTTTATTAAAGCACTGAGGTTACGACAACTTCGAGTTAAACTGATTTCACGGGTTGTCAAAGAGTCCAGCGATTCCTTTTTCCCAGGTGAGCGCCGACTCACTTCGCTTCAATATTCAGGAATGCTCTCGATCTTTTTACGCTTTCATTGCCTCTCGCCAGACATGTTTTGAAAGGCGTTTGGTCATGCGAAACCTCCACGAAACATCCCCGCCTCGCGCGAGGTAACTTTACCCCGATTCTAAAAATAAGTCGAGACGAATTACCTATGGAATAGGGTGTATATGGGGGATGCCCTCTCTGTCCCCTTTATAGTCTCTTGGCAGGACTGATAATTGGAACTCTTTTATTTTATAGCTATGAATTTCTTTGAAAAAAATAACTGTTTGTTCGAGAGGCCATATCAAACAATGGACACATTTTCCAAAACCTCGAAGGTCGATCTTAGAGAAAACGCGGAATTTTTTAATCAACTACTTCGCCCCTTAAAATCCGATGAAAACACTGCTTCAAGTGCTTGTTTATCATGGTTACTTCAAAAACGTCTTTGGAAGGTAAATAAATAAAGGTATTGACAGGAAAGAGCTTACATTTTTCTCTTCCTTGCACCACAGTAATAGTCCAACTGAGTGTTTACATTTTCCCAGTTTACTGGCGGGATCTGCGCATGAGCAGACAGCTCGCACAACACCTGTCCGTAAAAGTAACACATATTTATAACAGTGATAATGTCCTCTCTTTGGGCGCAATTGAGCAAAGAGGTAAATTGCTATCCGCCACGCAACGCACCCGTGTCTATCATTTCTATTATGACAATATTAGGATTCAGTTAATTTTGTCATAGCTTCATTTCAGTTACGCGTTCGGTTTCTGGTAGTAGTTGAGATATTTTATTTGCTATTTTTAGTTCAACGGGGCTAACCAGACGATGTTCAGGGTGTAAACTTCCCGAAAGCGAAGCAGAGAAATCGACAATTTCAAGAAAATGGTGAAAATTCGAAAAGCTACGTAAGAGTTCACCACGCTTCCCACCGACCAGAAGGGAAGACATGATCGGAGAGGCCTGACGTCTCACCCTGGTTCTAGGAGAGTTGTCGATGACACTATATAGACTGAGAACAGAGCCGAAATTCCGCGACGCCAACACTGGTTTCCTCGCGAAATGAAGTCTGAGAAATGAGCGCAGAAAGTCCATACTGATGACGCGTCACTACCAAGAGGTCGGTAGTGCTTCTGATTGGATAAAACATATTTGAAACCAATCAGAAGCAACACCCAGCTCTGGCTAGTGACACGTCATCAGTATGGAATTCCCGCGCTCGTTTCTCAGACGTCATTTAGCAGGGAAACTAGTGGTGGCGTCTCGAAATGTCCGCTGTTTTCTCAGACTATGCTTGCCTAAATAAAAGGCTGAAGGATAACAGTGTCTTCAAATTCACTTCAAGAATGGCAATGGTGACTAACTTGCATCTAAACATTGGTATCGTTTTCGTACGGCTGTGAAAAAATCGAAAGGGTCGTAACGTCCTTCAATTTGGACAAACTTAAGAGCATGTGACACAGACATACACCAACCCACGGCCTGGCCAGTACCTCACGCATGCGCACAGCCATATCGCCCGGGCAATGGCAGCCATGGACATAAATTTGGTGACGACATTACCACGGACTCTTCTCTAAGCCCGTTATTTGCATTAGATTACTTACCTTCTTGATTGAGAAGAGCAGAAACATCATACAGTTGACCTTGAGATCCTAAACCTGCAGTAAAGTAAAGGCAAAACCACAGTTAGAACATTAAATTCTTTAATGCAAACCAAACCTATCACACCATAGCACTCCAAGGCAAGCCACTGCTCAACCCCAGACATGGGCATCCAAACAGAGACAAGACCTCAAATAAAACAGCACGCCTTCTTACATTTAGCAGCAAACAGGACCCCTTCTTGTTCCACGCAGATTGAAACGTTCCGAATGAGCTTTACACAGCCTTCCCCTCGTCTAAAATGCCCTGGACTAAAAGCAAGGCCTTCTATATCGGTTGGTGATAAATGTTTGGCCAGTAGACTTGGCGTGACAGGGCTGGCAGTTACTGAAAAACAAAACTAATATATTAATAGTGCATCATAATTTAAATCATATTAAAGAATCAACCACTCTCTGCAACACGGAAGCCGTTAGGACAGGCAATAACGACCTTTAGACCCTAAGACGAGAGAGACTATAAGAACGAGATTTTCTCAATTTTAAGAAGTGCACGCGCGTGAACCAGCGTCATTTTGGCGAGAAAATGTGAGAGCCATCATCATTCTACTACGGGCTTTTGCGAGAATGTCGTAGTGGTGGAAACAAGTTATGAGCTGTTAGAGATTTTATCATTTTGTTATCCGGAGAGGGCTTGGCCTCCTTTAATAAAAAAAAATTCCGTAATAACTTTTCCGGGGTGTATATGTTTTGAGAATGCGCGGAAAGACTTTCAAGTTAAATCTCGTCCTCGAATCTAAAGGTCTGTAACATAACAATGCGCCTTAGAGAGACGCTGGTCCAAATTTGAGTCAGACAAAAGGACCGAAAAGGGGCAGAAACCAGTACTAGGTGTCCTTTTTTAAAAAGGGGTTTGTGTTACAGAGACATAAGAATAACTGGAGACAATACTAAATTTAGATTTCCTTGTTAGGTTGACTCTGTCTTAAAGAGAGTTAAGTTTGCCAATTAACGCCCAGCTCGTTTCAAATTTGTAAAGAATTACAAAAGCCTTGCTGTGGAAGGGGGCCGGGATGATTATCTTTTTTGGATGAATGCCCAAAAAAAATATTTTTCAGCTGCCTAAACTAAACAAATATTGTTTGGGGGTTGAACTGGACCCTGCGCACCAGGTGATAAAAAAGCTCAAAATGGATCATTTGTGGGTCTACACGCTGTATCCCACTTTATGTCGCAACGGCTACAGAATGTGATAAAAAAAATTAAAAGGGCATGCCAGTCACTGAAATTCTGAACACATGTACTTGATAGAGAAATAAACATCTTCTAGAAATTTCATGTAAAAATAAAGTTTTGATCAAAAGTTATAGTGCATGAAATTAGAGAAAAAAAACTTTTGGGACACCCTGTATTGTTGGGCTAAATAACCCAACCTCGCTCCCAGGGTTCTTTCCTAACCGTCCCCACGGGTAGGATAGAGAACCTGAGAAAGAGGTTGTAAGTAACCTTTTACACTTTATTAACTATTGAAAGGCATTACCAGCTATCAACACAAAGTCCCTTGCTTACTTGTGTGCTTATCAGCTTGTTCACGCAGCGGTGTTTTATCGTGTGAAACATTAGATGTTCCAGGAGGTGTGTTACTCTCAGTTTTGGGCGGTGTTTTCTTGGCGAAGACATTTTGTTTACTTAAACAGTCTTTAAGTTTGAAGATATCTCTTGATGCAGGCTTCGTTGGTACTGCAGTGTTCTGGTAACAGGAGTTAAAACTGTGAAAAGAATAATAGACACAGTCAGGAGTCAAAAGCAAAACGCTGGACTGGAAAATCTTTATAAAGCTCGATGACAACTGGCAAAGATCCCCCAATCAGTGTTGTAAATTACTTTCTCAAACTCATTAATACTGTAATTCATAAAGTAAGTAAATACAAAGGAAATTAATGTTTAGTGAATGTTTGGAAATCAGAGGAAAAACTGCTCACTTTTGCATCCCTAATTTCTCCTTCTTAAATCATTTTGTTTGAGAAGTAATATCAAGCATAACCTCGAAGTTCGTCAAAAATACTCCGCTGCGCGTCGTATTTTCAACTCTCTTCTCGGTGTTTCATCTGGTGATGAAACACTGCATCTCATGTTTGATATATTACATGAAACACTGCGTCTCATGTTGATATATTACGTATCCCTGAAAAGACCTGAGGGGAGTGGATAATAAGATATTTACAATTTACAAATTACAACTACAATTAGACCGGGTCACTTAAACGTTTCAAAAATTTTCACAAGAAATTTGTTAAGAGACTGGTGATCGTTTACGAGAAAGCCTACCTGTAACGCTGGAATAATATTGATTTTAATATATTCTATAACTATGAGAATGTTTCCTTGGGAGGCAGAACAAAAAAACTTGGCGCAAGACTGGATAAGAAAAGCAATGAACAATGAGAAAGTGAATGAACAATTATAGTCGTTTGATAGAGGGAAAAACAAGAGAAGCTTCAACTTGCTAATGAGTAATAAGAAATGCAATCATTTGTTTTTCATTCGTAATCTTCCCAAGCCGAAAAAGTGGTAGATCGGAGAAGAAAAGTAATTAATTACAAAGCAAACCTGTCAAAAGTTGAAAAGTCCTTGAAGCAAACTCCATGAACACGTTCATTGTTTGTTGTTAAGAAGCACTGCGTAGTTACATTGGAAGGACTGCTGAAGGACGATTTAGCCCGAAGAAACAGAGGCACACAGGCGGACGGTCTAATCTGGGAGCTGAACCACGCTAGTTTTGCTTTCTTGACGTAGTCTGGGACTTGTGCTGTTAATCCAACATGTACAGCATTTATCTACAGTCAAAGAACGTGTGAAAAGGATAACTACATTAGTTACTTCAGACAGAGTCGCGGAGACAATGATCTAGCTCAGAATCGCACCAGCAAAGCACCATTATTGCCCTTACCATTTCTGGATTTTGCAGGAGTTTATCTGCCTAAAAAATAACAAAAAAATAACCATCGTACAACAGATTATAATTCTAATCACGTGAAAAAAGTGTAAGTTTCTACATGATTGTATTCTTGATTAGTAAGTTCATTAAAACTGAAAAATATTAACATCTTGGAGATCCTCCAAAACCGGCAAGGCAAATATGAAAATTATTATCTTCTTGACGAGTTCTACAGAAAAGATAACGACTGATTGTTTTTTAGTTTGGGTGCAAGTAGTGTGGTCATAGTGACCAGTTGATCGTATAAGAAGAACTGTTGTAATGCGGGGTTCCACTGTACATGTAAGTTTATGAGTGACAAGAAAAGGGTCATCATCGTTTATATTTTGGACGGTCACTTGAATGGTCAATTTTGAGGCTATGTGAGACTGGGGATGAACGCTTCTTGTGCTTCAGGGGAGCTTCAAAGGAAACTGGGTCCCTGAATTCGTCCACGAAAAAGGTCCCACAGTGCGCTTCGACACGACACCGACCGAGTCTCATGCGATGTTAAAACATAACCAATAGAGCGTCTTCACTCACGTGGTCAGCAGCTATGCAAACATATTGGAAAAAAGGTAGTTTTTGCATCATAGCGGAGCTCCAGCAGAGAGGAGCCCATACCTAAGAAAATTTGGTAATCACGTGACCATAAGTCCGTCCGTCCGAACGACAGTGAAACCAGTGTGAATTGTCAAAATAGTGCGGGAGCCTGTAACCTGTGTTTAACTTGATAAGATATCCATATTATGGTCAACTGACAGCTGCCAAAACAGAGTATCCGCTGACCAGAGTCACATGACCGTATCGCAGGCGCAGGTGCCAAATCATCGAGGCCACATGTTTTTTTTTTAAGTTTTCCGCTGACCAGTTGTTAGCTTATAACTGATCGCAAGCTCAAGGTTATGTTTTCCCGTCATACGGTTAAGTTAAATATAGATTTGTTGATTTCTTTGCAATGGTTTCAAGTCCATTGTCTGAGGTAAATTTAAAATGCATAAATGGGAGCTTCACTTTTAGCTGTGGCTAAATCTATATATTAATATAAAACTAAAGACTTAACCTTGATAGACTTGACTCCTGCTGCACTTGCAGCCTTCTGATGAGCATCACTTGAACACACACAAAAAGTGGCCTGATGACAGAAAAACATAGTACAGCTGTATACTGTGTCAAAGGGATTTGTTGTATACTTAGTTTTGCCTACAGATACTTAGCTTGTGGTGTCGCTCTCTCATCCAACTAACATTTATATCGATTTATAAAACCAAAAGAAATCGTGAATTTGACATAAAAGGTAGCCTCCCACACAGACGTTCTTAGGGTTTTGTCATGCGTTTCTTTGTGGGGAAGGAACGCATGAAAAAAAAAAGTAAAAAAGTCTGCGTGGAAGGCTAGTATAAAACTTGACATTTGGCTAACACAAACTCAAGCAAAATCACCAAAGACTTTCACACATCCAACGCAAAATCAAGGTCATGCACAGTGAGGTACACATGCCCATTTGAGCATCCTGCATACCAACAAAGGACACCTCATGGCACATAAGTACATGTAACAGTCTTTGCTGAGTTTTTCGAAGGATGGCTGATGCAAATCCAGTTAGTAATAGTTTCTACAATAACTCGAGAGAAAAGTTAACCATAGGCTTCAAACAATGTAGCCATAACCTTACCCTGCTGGACAAATCAATGGTATGAAGTTTCTGAAGCCAGGCAAATAATCCTGGGTTAGGAGGTCTGCTAAACTTTGCCATAAATGAAGAAAAGTGCACAAAGTAAACAGGGACATCAGTCTGAAAAAAAGGAAAGAAGAAACACTTACATGAGAATTTTGAGATGTTGTCATTAATGTTGTTGTTGTTGTTTTGTTTTGTTTGCTTTTTATTACCATTATTATTTTTTGTTTTTGCGTGTGTGTGCATGTGGACAACCAGTTAACAGACAGAGCTCATGATAAAGTAAAAAAAATGAAGCCATATTCAATGATGAAGCCAGTATCCTTAGTAGATCTCAGTGGTAAAAAATTAATTTTAGGGCTGTGGTAGTGTCTCCTCCAGAAGTTTTAAGTGCGGAGTGCACGAAAAAAAATTAAAGGAGGGAGCTATTCACTCATTTACTCAGCCCATACCCTGTTGTGCTAGCAGTCAATATATCCCCTGCAGTTTTGATTTTCATACACACACATGATGACCCATTAAGAGAAAATAGAACCTCTGTAAACAGACAGGGCTGGGAGAGAAAGGCAAGCAAAGCAGCTGGTGGAGGTTTGCTATGAACAGAAAATAATCATGCTTGTACTCCCCTAAGGAGGGCTTCTTGGTTTCATGAGCCCCCACCCCAACCCACCCCACCCCACCCCACCCCTCTGGGAATTTCTGAGTCAAGCTTTAGACTTTCTTTTAGAAATTTTGGGCCAGAACCCACCTTGTCCAGTAGCCCTCCATGGGGTGGGTAGGGATATTTTTAGGAACCATACACTGTACGCTATTCCATGTCATGTACCTGTGTTGCCAGTTCACTCAAATCCCTCTTCATTTTTTCAACACATTCACAGCTTCCTTCTGTTTAAGGAAACACAAATTAAAGAGATAATTGAAAAACGTAGTTACAATTAAGGGGAAATAATAAATTACAATAAATATTGAAATTCAGTTCAATAATGCATTAACATGGGGGTGTGTGGGGGTAAGTATTATTTTCCATTTTATACATTTCAGTAACTTCAACACAGCTGGCTTTGCTTAGCAGGACATTTCATAAAAATGTTTCCTTGCTCATCAGCCTTTACTTCACATTTTTGAGGGCTTTTATGATTACATGATGGTGAGATCTTCCACAGCTGACCCTAAAATCCCATATAATTGCCTAATCCATAGGAAATCCAATAACTTATATAAAAACTGCATTATCTAAAGAGAAAAAAATTTAATGATCATTTAACAAAAATTAGGGTTTGGAAACAAGCAGGGCCTCATGGAGACCTTCAAAAGATAAGATAAAGGAAAATACTGTCTGGGATAGAAGGTGATGCCCGATTGTGGACCAGTGATGCTGCTTCTGTCGCCTGTTTGTTTCAAAATAAAGTGATGTTTCTGCTTAAGATGATGCTCATGTTATGCTTATTTTATGATGAAACTCTATTGAGTAACCTCCATAAAGCGGCCACTTGCTGGCGGTACACCAAGGGTGGCCGCTTAATGGAGGTTCAACTGTACACCTGCAAATTCTTGGCCAATTACAAAACCATGGAAAGGACTAGATCAAATCAACCTCTACATTCCTGCCCCTAAACTTTTGTCATTTAGTGAGTTACAGTATGGGTGTTGTAGGATCAAATCCAATCCAATCTCTGTGGTTTATGGGCAACAGAGTCTGGAATAAGCTATGGGGTACAGATAATGAGCCTTTTTGGACTGTAAGACAAGTGAACCTTTTTTAGTCAGACAAGGTATAACTATTGCCTTACCAGGACATGGCTGCTTGGCACTCATATGAAATACAATAACTCTTCCACAAGGATTACTCTGGCTCCACTTTCCTATAATGCCAATGGCCACCCTCTTAGTATTACACTGAACTTCCTCTGCATCATCAAAAAGTCCCTCCCACTGGAGAAACAGTGCTGGAACAACAAACTGCAGAATAGTTAGTGGTCAACTTCATAGATCAAGAAGGTGTCACCCAAATTATTAATACAGGTTTTTATTTTGTATTTTTTTTTTTTTCAAAAAATATGAGAATTGAAGTGTGCTTGGAAATTTACAATGTAAACTCACAGACTTTTGGGTCAATCCTAAAGCATCTGAGCTACACAGAGACTTATGACAAATGCCTTTAACTATCTGTCAAACATCTTGAATACTAAAAAGAATCAATAAGGGGCTTATTAAGTAAAACGTTTTTGAGCCACATACATCAACTAGAAATGACCTTTTTGCATTCTTGGGAACTGGTTTTGCTCAAATTTTCCAGCAACACATATCTCTATAAGAGTAATGACTTGTATCAACAAATTTGGCAGCATGAAGGCATATTATTAAAGAGGAAAAGTTGTCACTTCCAGTTGACGTGCATAATTGCTCAAAAACGCCTTTGATTTAGCTCGCTAATGAAAATTTTTCTGTTACCTTGTAAGGTGTGTCACATATCAACTGGATTTCCACCTGATCAATTTTACTAAACCCCTCTTCCTTGTCAGGTAATTCTGAAAAATTAAAAGCTGCACAACCCATCTTGGAGCAAAAGACATCACTTTTCAAATTACTGCAGTACATTAAATGTAAAAATAAATTTTCTATTAATGCATCAGCTTGTTATTAAGCCAAATCTTACCTGCACTTCTCTTCTCAAACCAATGCTCACTGTTCTTCACAGTCTCAATTTTAAATGTTGCATCATCTGACAGACATTCAAACTGATGAGCTAGTTGCCATTCTCTGGCCCATTCACAGATCAACAGTCCGTCACAAGAACTAACATGAAAATGTACCACTCTGTAGGAACAGTATGGAACCTGCAGAATTAAACTGAAACAATTAGCTAAGAACTAATATTATTTACAAAATTTATTGACTTGCTAACTTGTAAAAATACAGAAAAGGTCATAAACATTTAACCACACCACACAGCTGTACCTTATTTCTGATAATATTCAAGTAAGATTTTCTTGACTTCTTGGTGCTCTTTTCATCATCCAAAACAACACTCTGTCCCTGAAATGGAATCATATTTTTAAGACAAGAATTGTCTGCTGTCCATTTGTATATATTTCTGAGCCGAAACAGATTTATATAACTGTACAAAAAAAATGGTAGCCTGTAGTCAAAAGGCAAGGCCAAGCCCGGATGATTTGCAATTATTAGGAGAGGTTTTCATTAATAAATCTCATACACTAGCCATTACAAAAAAATTAAAATTAATTCATGGTATTTACTGGGGTAATATATGAATGTATAATGTAATTGGACAGGGCAGTCCACAGTAGTTGAAAAAACTGAATGAGCAAAGTAAATCTTGTATGCATGAGGTTCTGGCAACAGATAAGGATTCGACACCTCAATTTATACCTTTACCTAAGACCAGGTGGACATATCTGTTGTTGTTTAGGAAGTTGTGGGACAGAAATATAATGAGGTCATCTGTTTGTGGACGGCTTTATTAAACCGACAACCAGCCCCACCCTCCACCGCCGCCGCCACCACCACCAACACCACCCCAACCCCACACCACTGACATTTCATCCCTTGCCTTGTGTGACCTGTATAGGCCTGTGCACTCAATATATGTCCCTAATCTAAGCTTACTACCACAATTTTTCTCCCCTTTCTTGGATATATTTCTTCGGTGAAATTCTAATTCCTTGCCCATGCCCCACGGGATATTATGCACTTCATTAGTTGATCTCCCCTTACCTTGCTTATAACGTTGACAACTTTAAGAATCACAGCTCTGAGGCTCAGAGAAGGATCAGCTTCAAAAAGCTCATGAGGACATATCCTCTCATGTGTTTGAGAAAACTCATGAACGTAAAACAACGTTTTTCCCTAAAAAGTACAAAATAAAAATTAATGTAAGCTTAAGTTCAAACAACGCAAGAAAGGCAGGACGACAATCTCGGGCATGTGTCGCTCAAAAAAGTGCCTCAGGTTCCCGCATCACGTACCCAGATGTCACGAAAAAGTTTATATACTTACTGGAAAAGGGGGACCATAAAAAAATACAACTTCTGGCAGCATAGAAGCCATTATGATTCAGGTTTTTTTCCAGCAATATAAAACTGCATTTTATAGATGAATGGGGAGATTCCCTCCATAATAGGCCAGCGGTCAGAGTGACAGGCTCAATCATAATGCGTGATGTAAGCCGCTCCATTTGTCCGCCGAATTTTTGTGCAATTGAGGTATGCCTTGGGGCGGAGGCTCTTTACGCATTTGAACAGTTATTACGTTTTGCATATAGAGCTTAGTTAAAGCTTAGTTGTTAGTAAAAGCATAATCCACTTTCCCACAAAACTGCTCTGAAATCACCAGTTTATATGCTCCTGTCATAAATGATAAAGGGATCAGCATTGCACGCATGCATCGCCTTATGCGCGCGCGCCCTGTAACAGTTCTAGCGCTTGCGAGCGACGCTTACGAATATTGATTTAAAAGACGCTAGTAACAAACACTAGCTAAGGTTTGAATGAAGAGCAAGGAGACAACCAAACAAGGGTTATATAGCTCTCTATTCTCGGAAAAAAGTGTATGTTCCAGCAATGCGACGTTCAAGTTATGTGAGCCGATAATAATTGATGCTTGATATAAAAATAAGGAAGAAAATAACACACAGAGGTAACCTGACTTTTGAAAGTTTGTATTGTTATAACGGAACACAGAAAAAACCACTGATTTATATTATCTAAATAATAATTTATTTTTCTCTACTTCAATAGAGATAAAGATTCAACAGGCTGACAATGGTAAAAATAGGTGACGGGACTCTTACTGAGCGGGACAAATGGAATAGACTAACTCACGAACAAGTCAAGAGATTATTGATTGAAATCAATCTTCAAGTAAGCCAAATCATTAAGGAAATTCAAGTAGAATTAGAACAACTGACAGTTAAATCCCCCGCTCATGAATGGTATAATATGGTTTTTCGATTCGAAAGAAAATTGAAAGCTCTTAGCAACAGCTTTCCACCTTATTCAGCGGAGAGTTATAGATCGTTGGGGGAGCTACGACACAGAAATATTCTGAGAGAGTTTAAGGAGATCTGTGAGCGGAGGGACTATCAAGAGCGTTATTTAGGATTAAAAGCTGAGATTTTCGCTCTGGAAGAAATCGTTCTGGAGCAAGGCAAAGTGAAAAGCAAACAAAAAGAAATAAGAAAGCAAATTACAGAGCTCGCAAAGCAGATGGACTCTGATCACGCAGCTCTTGAGGATGCAAAGACGGGTATTCAAAACATCACTAGTACAATAATCAGGGAGAAAAAATCCATGCAGCGAGAAATATCACAGATGAAAGGTAGTAGAGCTAATGCGTTGCAAAGGCTGACAGAGCTGAGACAGACACTGAAGCAAAAGGAGATATTACTAAAGGAAACCACAGAGCAAAGACAACGAGTAGAGGCCGCTTTGGAAAAAGAAAAAAAAGGAAACCAACGACTCAAGAAGATTCTGAATGAAAGTTTGGTATAACAGAACTGACGAGTGTCAGAAAAATAGTAGTTTAAGCGGGGTGAATGAACTTAATAAACCTATTGTAAACTATCCAAGCGTCAGTAGTGTCTTTAACCAAGAGAGGATAAAGGAGACAGAGAAGGCATCGCATCACGTACCCAGATGTCACGAAAAAGTTTATATACTTACTGGAAAAGGGGGACCATAAAAAAATACAACTTCTGGCAGCATAGAAGCCATTATGATTCAGGTTTTTACCAGCAATATAAAACTGCATTTTATAGATGAATGGGGAGATTCCCTCCAAAATAGGTCAGCGGTCAGAGTGACAGGCTCAATCATAATGAGTGATGTAAGCTGCATCATTTGTCCGCCGAATTTTCGTGCAATTGAGGTATGCCTTGGGGCGGAGGCTCTTTATGCATTTGAACAGTTATTGCGTTTTGCATATAGAGCTTAGTTAAAGCTTAGTTATTAGTAAAAGCATAATCCACTTTCCCACAAAACTGCTCTGAAATCACCAGTTTATATGCTCCTGTTATAAATGATAGAGGGATCAGCATTGCACGCATGCATCGCTTTATTCGCGCGCGCCCTGTAACAGTTCTAGCGCTTGCGAGCGGCGCTTACGAATATTGATTTAAAAGACGCTAGTAACAAACTCTAGCTAAGGTTTGAATGAAGAGCAAGGAGACAACCAAACAAGGGTTATATAGCTCTCTATTCTCGGAAAAAAGTGTATGTTACAGCAATGCGACGTTCAAGTTATGTGAGCCGATAATAATTGATGCTTGATATAAAAATACGGTAAGGAAGAAAATAACACACAGAGGTAACCTGACGTTTGAAAGTTTTTATTGTTATAACGGAACACAGAAAAAACCACTGATTTATATTATCTAAATAATAATTTATTTTTCTCTACTTCAATAGAGATAAAGATTCAACAGGCTGACAATGGTAAAAATAGGTGAAGGGACTCTTACTGAGCGGGACAAATGGAATAGACTTACTCACGAACAAGTCAAGACATTAGTGATTGAAATCAATCTTCAAGTAAGCCAAATCATTAAGGAAATTCAAGTGGAATTAGAACAACTGACAATTAAATCCCCCCTTCATGAATGGTGTAATATGGTTTTTCGATTCGAAAGAAAATTGAAAGCTCTTAGCGACAGCTTTCCACCTTATTCAGCGGAGAGTTATAGATCGTTGGGTGAGCTACGACACAGAAATATTCTGAGAGAGTTTAAGGAGTTCTGTGAGCGGAGGGACTATCAAGAGCGTTATTTAGGATTAAAAGCTGAGATTTTAGCTCTGGAAGAAATCGTTCTGGAGCAAGGCAAAGTGAGAAGCAAACAAAAAGAAATAAAAAAGCAAATTACAGAGCTCGCAAAGCAGATGGACTCTGATCACGCAGCTCTTGAGGATGCAAAAACGGGTATTCAAAACATCACTAGTACAATAATCAGGGAGAAAAAATCCATGCAGAGAGAAATATCACAGATGAAAGGTAGTAGAGCTAATGCGCTGCAAAGGCTGACAGAGCTCAGACAGACATTGAAGCAAAAGGAGATATTATTAAAGGAAACCACAGAGCAAAGACAACGAGTAGAGGCCGCTTTGGAAAAAGAAAAAAAGGAAAACCGACGACTCAAGAAGATTCTGAATGAAAGTTTGGTATAACAGAACTGAGGAGTGTCAGAAAAATAGTAGTTTAAGCGGGGTGAATGAACTTAATAAACCTATCGTAAACTATCCAAGCGTCAGTAGTGTCTTTAACCAAGAGAGGATAAAGGAGACAGAGAAGGCATCCCCCGTACACACCCTATTCCATAAGTAATTCGTCTCGAATTATTTTTAAGACCACAGATCCCAAGGGGGATTAGACAACAGCCAATCACATAGCGCGAATGTGTTCCGCGTGGATGAACCACGCTCACTAGAGCCACGCGTCCTTCACGAATTGACGCAGAAAATTCAAAGTATCCTTTACCCTCCGACAAATGAAGAAAATATGATACAAAAACAACTCCAAAAAATATCGTGCTAACTTGAAATATAAGTATAAAAAAGAACACAAAATATATAAACGTAATATTTCGGTTCTTATTTCAAGACCATTATCAAAATTCAAAGTACATTGACAGAGAAACGTGCATCCTGCTTGCAGTCGCCCCTGTGTTCCACAATCAACATTGCGGGGTAAATTTTCGGTAGAGAAGGCCCACCTCGTACTATCTCTAACAATGCATTGTACAAGTGTACCGTCATGGATTAATAAGCACCGGTGACAAGCTAAGCCCTGATTTTCGCATCATGACACATGGGAATTCTTTGCTTTGAAATTCTATACATTTAAATAAGACTTTATAACTGTCTTACAATCGTAATCAGTTTAATCTACGGGATTTTAAAAAAACTCGACCACTCATCGTTCTTGTAACCAGCTCCTTAGTGTGGAAACTTTCTGATAACACCCTTCTTATTATTCAACCTATTACTGAACATTTCTAGGAATACTTAATACGCCTGAGAGCGTTTTTTGCCTCATAAATATGCAGATATATTCAGGATAATACTAAGAATAACAAATTTACTGATAAAACGAACACAAACCGATTAAAAATTTGGCTTTATACAGGGAAATGAAGTCTTTTCTCTCGGCTAATGTGGGAGTTTCTGTGACTTTATACTAACTGTCTGATTATACAGTCAAAAAACATTTGGCTAGTTCAGTGTTCCTCGTTTCATACTTCTTAGACTACTTTCTATTTGATGTCAGATTCTTTGAGAAAAAAAGGTATGTACCCAGCACTTGTTTATCAGTCAAGAGTAAATAACCAAGAAGTAACAGTTGTAAACAGCGCCCACACTGAAGAGAACCATCATCAAGCGAGAATTCCGAACTGCACTTCTCATGTATTTCTTCGCTGTCTTGTTGAAGGCCTGGAACTTGATCTTTCCCTGAGACACACTGACAAAGCCAACACCAGCTTGATAATTCTGCAAAGCAATTCCCTCAAGTTCTGTTACAGTGACTTCGTAAAAGTTGTTGGGGGATTTCTGACCTCCGAAGATGGGCTGCTTCAAAACGGTCGGTAAAGATCTCTGATTAACCAGCTCATGTTGGCCGTAAACTGTCAAAAACGCCAAGCAACCGATGAAAAGGACGACTTGCATAATCACCGATCCACCACTTACCTTCCAGATGCCGAGAACACTCGCAAGACAAAATACTCTTGCGAACTTTAAGAAGTAGGGACAGTCGATGTAAATGGACAACTTTTCATGCGGAAAATATGGCCTGCTTTGTTTGATGTAATGGTTTGCTTTTGCATGCGCCTCATCTCGGATTGTAACACTTGTACCAACTTCTTCCACCTCTATCTCGGTGCGCTTGACTTGTCCGAGTTCAATTCTCTCAACAGACATTTCCTCAGAAAGCTCTTAGACTATTAAAGAACGAGATGAACTTACCTCACGGAAGTCAGTAAATGCACTGCAGGGGAGCTTTGTGGAATTTTACATAGATATTCATAGAGATACTTTATTGTGTACTCTCCCGGAAACCGTCTTCGGACCTCTTCTTGGAAGAGACCCCTGTGGTTCGCTTCAATAATTCTTCATATTTTGTGAGACACTAAGAGGAAATTAGACTTAAAACAAGTCGACCTCACGTGCTTCACAGCCAAAAAGCTGAAAATCTAGTGGAGCAGGAACCGATTGCTAGGTTTCTGAGCGGAGTGAACTTTTTAGGCCGCGAAGCAGCAGAGAGAGTGTCAATGTCCCGAGAGGTCTACCCTTGTCCCGCGGGCAATGTAAGGGACCTAAAAGTTTTTTTTGTTTCGAGGCGGCTGCTCGCAGCGGAACACAGAGAACACCAACACAAGACCACAGCACGGTACAACATCAATTACAATTCAGAATGGGTGCACAAGCACGCCAAAAGTCGCCGGGGTAATATGTATCCCCGCCACCCCTTACAAAAGTGCATGACAGGACAAACAACTACAAAGCGAAAAACGCCACAGTCGGAATAGTTAAAAGACCCTAGACACACTGACTAAGCTACTACAAATCATTAGTACCGACTACTGCAAGCTAATTGAACAGACAGACAAAGGGCCGGGAGCACCACACGACACTGATGGCGCGCTATGGGATAAAATAGAAGGGCCAAACAGCGACGCAGGGGGCCAACAACCAAGAACAAAAAGCAATTTAATAACGCCAATGAACACCAAAGGACGTAAAACGCAGAAGGCAACAGACGATTTACGAATGGACAACCAGCTGACCATCCCTAACAGATGCCACAACACAACGGGCACCCCACTGTCGAACAAAATAGGGATTTTAACATCCAACGACGCGACGACAACGATAACGTCGCTTAGAAAGAGAATTTGCGTTCTTTCAGTCATTATCGCAATAATTCCTACCCTCTAACTTTATCAAATGTAGGCCAACCCTCCTGGATTTGAATTCCTAATGACCATATCCAAGTTCAGAAAGAGAAACTAAATTTCGTCGTTACTTGTTTATGTTCTCCAGAAAACGCGAAATTAGGCATTTTCACGTCGTAGTCGTGCAAAAACGGGAAAAGAAATGTACAAACAAGTGTGATGCACGTGCAAAGTTGTTGTTTTGCTTATAAAACCTATTGTTTTTTTGACGTTATCGTTCTTGTCCGCATCGTTGGATCTTAAAGTCCCTAATAACGACCACGAACAGAGGAACGAAAACGCTTGAAGAGCAAAGGAAGGTGGAGACGAACACGCACCTTCACCTGCGCAAGCACAGCAACAGTACTAGGAGCCACATCACGAAAACGATAGTCGTTACGGGCCAACCTCAAAAAATACTTACACTGAGAACGTAGACAAAAACACGAAGGACACAAAGAGCTCATCATGGTTAAACCCAAAACGCTCGTGACGACACACTAAAGATGGAATAAGGATTACCAGGCGATACCCTCTACGGAGAACCCCATGCACAATAGCTCACCTTCGATATATTAAAATTCTAACATGAATCCGAAGCTTTCTGGTCATTTTTCTATATTTGGTTTGGTTTTCTTTGTGCTCAAGTCTTTTTTTGGGAATTACGAGACAATAGAGTCTGGAAAAATGTGCAATTTTGACCGTAAAGCCTAAAGTCAATAGAAGATACGTCCACACGGTTGCTTGTACCGTCGTCTTTGTAGGACCCGCGCGCCTCTTTCCAGCTGTTCAAACAAAAACGATGGTCACGCGGTCGCTATAACCGATTTCTACCGTTGCTTGTAAAGGACCCTTTTGTGTAGAAGTTTTAAGCAGTTTCCATGGTAGGTTCTTTGTTGAAGAAGGCCAATTTATCAACTCCACAGCGTCCCTCCACTTACGCCGCCATTCTTTTTATTTGTTGACGCCGCCTCGCTTTGGTGCGTTGAATCGTGAAAGCGAGTCTTCCGGAAGTCAACCAGTTTACCGGAAACTGTTTCCGCGTGGTCCGCATAGTTCTATAAATTAAGATATCCCAGCGAACGCCCTTAGACTCCCTCTCTGTCCTATTATGGCTCTTGCTCATATATAAATCTCTCTAGCTCCGCAATTAAAGAATTTATGAAATATTGATAGCAATTAAATTATTTTTCTAAAATGCCAGACGGCGCTATATCCACCATTTATTTTTAGATGTATGTGGCTCAAGTTTATTTGGTGAGGCTATGAAACAGCTCTTAAATTACCAGGCAGCTGCACAACACCAGTGCATTAAATAATATTTAACCAAAATAAGAAATTTAATTTATCCCTCAAAAAAGCTCTAATCCTTGAATAATTGTATGAAGCAGCTGAAAAAAGCTCGTCAGGTAAGCTTACTAAAACAGCCTAGCAACTATATACATTTTAGTTGAAAACTGGCTACTTGAGTAGCGGTGGGTAAATTTTAAAACGAAACCCACGTGTTGCAAGCAAAACATTTGAACATACATGTATGCTTACCAAAAACTTGAAAAGTGGTAAGGAATTAAGCGCGTTCAATCGACAAACCGCTCGGTTTATTTTGGGGAGAAATTTGGACAAAACCTTTTTCACCTGCTTTTTGTATAGCAAACATCCGAATTGCTGAATCTATACCATGGTGCTATGCAAAACCTCACCTTCGAACGTCGAACTGCACATTTTCTCGGCGTCCTTTATAATTTATCGGCGTGACCCGAGTGTGTCCTCCCAAATTGACGGAACCCGGGTAAAATTTATACATTCGTAAACAACTGTCAGACAGGAAAATTATCCCCACTCTTCTCACTGTTTTGCCGCCATTTAGGTTTTTCTACGCGGTGAAATCTCATTGGTTGAACGTCATAAACAGGCTTTAAGTTAACCTTAAAGTTAACCTCTTCTCGCGCCCTACGTACTTTTTCCGTTTCGAGAAAATGGCGGCCCAACAGGCTGCTTTGGACTATATCATTAAAACTTGGGTAGGAAAGCTGAAAGTCGGAGAGCTAGTTTTTACACCCCTAGCTGGTGCATGCGGTTCTTCAGTTCTCTCCTATGTCAACACTTGTAGCTGTGCCCTGAAGTTCAGCTTCTTCGGTACTGTTGCTTGGACTGCCTTCATCAACGCCTTGATCGACATGATAATCCATCTCCTCGGGTTGTGGGAATGACTTCTTTGGATTTTTCGACACTCTGCGG